CCTAATCTCAGCTTGTTACCTGTATAAAAGACACCTGTCCACAGAAACAATCAATCAATCAGATTCCAAACTCTCCACCATGGCCAAGACCAAAGAGCTCTGCAAGGATGTCAGGGACAAGATTGTAGACTTACACAAGGCTGGAATGGGCTACAAGACCATTGCCAAGCAGCTTGGTGAGAAGGTGACAACATTTGGTGCGATTATTCACAAATGGAAAAAACACAAAAGAACTGTCAATCTCCCTCGGCCTGGGGCTCCATGCAAGATCTCACCTCGTGGAGTTGCAATGATCATGAGAACGGTGAGGAATCAGCCCAGAACTACACGGGAGGATCTTGTCAATGATCTCAAGGCAGCTGGGACCATAGTCACCAAGAAAACAATTGGTAACACACTACGCCGTGAAGGACTGAAATCCTGCAGCGCCCGCAAGATCCCCCTGCTCAAGAAAGCACATATACATGCCCGTCTGAAGTTTGCCAATTAACATCTGAATGATTCAGAGGACAACTGGGTGAAAGTGTTGTGGTCAGATGAGACCAAAATGGAGCTCTTTGGCATCAACTCAACTCGCCGTGTTTGGAGGAGGAATGCTGCCTATGACCCCAAGAACACCATACCCACCGTCAAACATGGAGGTGGAAACATTATGCTTTGGGGGTGTTTTTCTGCTAAGGGGACAGGACAACTTCACCGCATCAAAGGGACGATGGATGGGGCCATGTATCGTCAAATCTTGGGTGAGAACCTCCTTCCCTCAGTCAGGGCATTGAAAATGGGTCGTGGATGGGTATTCCAGCATGACAATGACCCAAAACATACGGCCAAGGCAACAAAGGAGTGGCTCAAGAAGAAGCACATTAAGGTCATGGAGTGGCCTAGCCAGTCTCCAGACCTTAAATCCCATAGAAAATCTGTGGACGGAGCTGAAGGTTCGAGTTGCCAAACGTCAGCCTCGAAACCTTAATGACTTGGAGAAGATCTGCAAAGAGGAGTGGGACAAAATCCCTCCAGAGATGTGTGCAAACCTGGTGTCCAACTACAAGAAACGCCTGACCTCTGTGATTGCCAACAAGGGTTTTGCCACCAAGTACTAAGTCATGTTTTGCAGAGGGGTCAAATACTTATTTCCCTCATTAAAATGCAAATCAATTTATAACATTTTTGACAAGCGTTTTTCTGGATTTTTTTGTTGTTATTCTGTCTCTCACTGTTCAAATAAACCTACCATTAAAAGTATAGACTGGTCATTTCTTTGTCAGTGGGCAAACGTACAAAATCAGCAGGGGATCAAATACTTTTTTCCCTCACTGTAGCCTTAACAGACTGTTGGGGCAAGTGCTGTTAGTGAGCACCTATGAAGGCCGAGGCGGTGGGTGGCCAGAACCATGCCCAGCCGCCTTTGTCTCCCCAGTGGCAATGTTTTTACGCACCGCACCAGGTACTAATTTGAGGCGGAATCGACCTAGAGGAGGCCCAGGACCGATTCAGATAATCATTACTGGTGTTGACCATGAGCGAGAATCGAACTTGGGCCGCCGGATTTATAGCGTGGTGCGCTAAACGTTGCACTAACGCGTCGCATAACATATACACACATACAAAGACCCCCCGTATAGCCTTAACAGACCGTTTGGGCAAGTGCTATTAGCGAGCAGCACCTATGAAGGCCGACATGGCACACGAGGGGCTGGGTGCCCAGCACCACGCGCGGCCGTCTTTGTCTCCCCAGTGGCGATGTTTACACTCCGTACCAGGTACTCATTTGAGGTTGAGCCGACACACGTACACACACACACAAACTCGTACACGCATATCCACTCGGACACCTACACACAAATTTGGCGGTAGTTTCACCGTTGTTTTTGTTGTTGTTGCAATGTTATTTGGTTCACGGCGTTCCGCAAAATGTGCGTGAGGGATGTCTGTGGCCCGCGGGTTGCAGAGAGGCCGGGAACCCCTTCCCCTTTAGCCTACACCCCTCCAAGCTAGCAAAGGGACACGGCCACACACGGCCACACACGGCCACGCCATTCACACTGAGCAACCAGTCTAACCCGGCTCAGTTGCAACGCAGAGATCACTGTTCGTCTCGGCTGCCCGCTCCCCCCTCACCCCCCACAGGCCCCCCCCCACACCAACCCCTCAACCCACCCGGCGACGTGTGATTTATTCTGTAATCTCCGAGACGTATCGGTGCCTCTGCAGCCGGTTTTTCCATCTCGTTACTGCCCGAGCGTCACCATCGGTTCACAATTCTCGATTAGTTTTTTTTGTTTTGGTCCGAGACGACGGACAGCGAGCCTGAGACTAAGATGATGGGAAGTAGGGAAGATGGATCTTGAACAGAGAACTTCTGGAATGAAGAGGTGGGGGGGGGGGGGGAGGAATATAGGGAGCAATTGGGACAAAATTAGGGGAGACGGATGGATATGGCGTCGCCAAAATATATCCCGGAACGGCGTTCAGGATTGTTCTGGCTGATATTAACGACTGATTATCATAACACATCCTCTCTCCCTCCTGTCTCTGCCTGTGTGCCGCCCCGTGTCTCATCTCCCACATGGCCACCGCACGGCCGTGTAAAACTTCCATCAATAAAGCCGCCGTTGCCACTGGCACTGTGAATGATTCAGCGGAGCAAGGCAAAGCGTTTCAGACAATGACTGCAGTCACAACCTCCACACGTCGCCGTGATTTTACTCGCTTGCTCACTCATTCACTCGATCGCTCACTCACTCCCTGCATCGCTCACTCACTCACTCATGAGAGAATGACTCCAGACAATTACTGCAGTCACCTCCACATGGCGCAGTGATTTTACTCGCTCGCTCGTGCCATTGCTCACTCGTTCACTCATTCTACGGAACACGGTCTGTGTCGCACACCTTTGGACACCTATTGTCTGTTTACATCATTAGTATACGAGCCACCCTATATCTAGTCGATGTTTCTGCAACTTAATTTTGCAATTGTGCTCAGAACAGTCGAAGATATTCTGCAATTTTTGCCAAAAATGACGATAGTTATATAAAAGTAAACATCAAATAAATACAGCAATGAAAAGTAAAACAATGCTTCATGGCTGTACGGTTCTTTGAATCATTATTCTGGTGACCCGGGTCTCAGCCTGGTCTCGTAAAGGTCTCACCCGATGAGACAAACTTGACTTTCCTGTTGGTTTGCCTGCCCATCTGCCTGTAACATGGGGTCCAAATAACTTTGGGAAAGATGATTAAAGACAAACCTCGAGCTTAATGTTACGTTACTCTCAAACGTTGTACCTGTGGCAAAATGCAGGAAGGGGAGTAGAGTGATGCACGGTATCTAGAGAAAGAATGGGAAGGGATGCCGGGATGGAAGTCCTCAGGATGGACAAAAGGGGAGGGGGGGGCACGGCTCAAGATATGAACCAGAGAAAAAGGAGCGCTGGGCAGGAAGGGGAGGAGGTTGAGGTAATGACCGGACCAAGATATTGGGGATAATGAGAGTGAAGAGAGGGAGAAGCTCACTTCTGCGAGACAGAAGTGAGCTGCACGGAGCAGTGTCCGTTGTCATAATGGGCGGGGAAAGATTCAAAGTGGGATGGGCACACACAAATCATATGATTTATGAGAGGCTTGAGCGGATTGAAATGTACGGTAGAGATTATTGAAAACAGGACACACGTTCATCAAATGCTAGCCCAAAACCTAGATACACAAAGTGCCAGGGGTTTGCGTCGCCCGTAGGCTGTGCTCCCAGAAAAAGGGGGGCACGGTTCCCCTTCAGTGCTGCATTCAAGCGAACGAAACAGTGAGTTTTCTCCACAAATCTGGCTGTCGCCTGATTAAGCTAGTTATACTGGTGGGAAACGTCGTGGACTGGAAGCCCAACCGGGATTAATTCACAGGAGGCAGGGGATTAATTGTGTATGTCTGTGGATGTCTGTCCACGTGTATCCGGACACCCGGATAAAATAGGAGGGGTGGGGCTGGGTGGAGAGGGGAGGGTGGGGAGGGGTAGGGTGGGGAGGGGAGGGTGGGGAAGGGCTGGGTGGGGAGGGTGGGGAGGGGAGGGTGGGGAGGGGTTGGGTGGGGAGGGGAGGGTGGGGAGGGGCTGGGGAGGGGAGGGTGGGGAGGGGCTGGGTGGGGAGGGTGGGGAGGGGCTGGGTGGGGAGGGTGGAGCTGGGTGGGGGGTGGGGAGGGTGGGGCTGGTTGGGGGGTGGGAGGGGTGCGGCTGGGTGGGGAGGGGCTGGTCACCCCGTGGTGCCCTTATAAAACTCAAAGTTTAACCTACTCACGCAGGCTTGTGCCCGCCCTCACAGTCGGGCATATTTGCGGAATACACCACGTGGTGCCGTTGACCCTGGCCATTGACCGAGCAACCCAACGTTCCTACCAGCTCCCTCCGCAGGAATGTGTTAATTACTGGTGAAACGTCGTACTCAGATTGTAAATGTTGTGGCTTGGCTCTCCAACACACCGGTGTGCTGTACTAGTGACGAATTGGCCACGTTCTGTTCACGTGACAAACCTTACTAGTTGGCTGTGTAGGATGGTGGCGGGTTTTAACGACACATTTAAATATTTACGCGATCTAACCCAAAAAACCTCTATTACGGCCACACATCTTGGAAGGGCTGGGAGTTACCCACACTTTACCCCACCACACGCGACCTGCTGATCGACCGCCTGCCGAGTAGACTCATCTACACACTGCCGAGTGGACAGAGCGTGGAGGGATTTGATAAACTAGGCCCCTAATTTTGATTTAAAGCTTTCGTGACTGCAGTAATTCATATTCTTAGTTTTTTCGGTAAAGTCACGTTGAAGAGAAACAACAAAATAATATAATATATAAAACAATACAAATTCTCACGACGTTTCGACCATAACTCAAACGTCGTGAGAATTTTTATTGTTTTATATATTATATTATTTTGTTGTTTCTCTTCAACGTGACTTTACCGAAAAAACTAAGAATATGAATAGGCCCCTAATTGTTTCAAATAACCATCGCACCACCGCGGCAAGTTTCCCTGTAACTGCGTAGGCATTAAACCGTGGTGGTGACCCTGGCCCAGCGGTAACACGTTTGCCGCTTGTCGCGGAGGTTTGCGGTTCGAGTGCGGCAGGCCGCCCTGGTCAACACCGTGTGGGGGTATTATAGGCGTTGAAATAACACCGCGTGCCGGGCCGCTTCCCAGTGGACATCTCAAGGTCCCGCCGCGTCATTGCCAATGGGTGGGGCCACTTGTGCGCTGCCATCGCGGTCCCAAGCTTGCCGAATTGGAAAGATTCCGCCGCAGACTACTCCACTGGGATCGCACGTGCGCACACACACACACACATCCACATGAGCAGCTGAAGCGACATCGCACCCCCCTGCCCTCGCGAAACTTCGGCAGGCCGTGTCCACGAAACATAGCGGTGGCGTCCTTCCTTCGCGGCAACCGCCCTGCGCTATTAAGAAGGACAGCGGCAATGCCAAACATGAACCAAATATATAAAATTGTCAACAAGATCAAATGAAAATGAAAAAGGGTAATTTCCCGAACGGAAGCGCGACCCGGAGTCGTGAGCTGTGATCAGACACCGCGGCTCGATCGTCACCACATGCCCAGCCACCTCCCTCCCGCACGCGCACGGCAATTGTCTTGAGTGCATTCCGGGGGCTCATGGGTTTTCAAATAAAATTCAATCAAACGTAATAAATAAATAAATATTCCCTTCGCCCGCACTGGCAATCATCAGCGCCACATGGCGCAGCTACCCTACTCCGGAACACTATTGCCGAGGTTTTTTTTTAAACTCCCACATGCTGTGCAGCCTAAATATATATTTGCATGTATTTATATGTTATAATATTTCGGTTTTTCCCTGCCTCAGATGGCACGGCGTACGGAGAGGCGCATTCATCCGACACATGGGGGACACGGGGACAATGCGGGACACGGGGGACAATGTGGAACACGGGGGACACGTGACCAACCTGGAACACACGACCTGAGACACGGGGGGATACCGGGACAAGTGACGTCGGCACACAGGACATCTGACCACAAGGACACACACAGAGTTCGGTGGGACATGGGAATAAACAGCAATCGGTACATTGCAGTGGGGAATAAATACACTGCAAGCACACGCGGTGCAGACACGGTTCATACAGAACACTCAGTGAAGGCACTGAACACACCGGCAATGAAGACACTGAACACACAGCACCACTTTTTCGCCGGCACAACTGAGCCAGGGCCGTCGTGTGCCGAGACGAGCCAGCCTGGCAACGGCTCAGGTAAGCACCGGGTTTGTTTTTTTTCCACTGCAGGAGCCGAGCCGTGCTGCTGAGGTAACCCAAAATGAACGCGCAACAACTCGAGCGTATCGACTGATGCAAAGTGATGACAACGAATAATAACCTCGCTCCTTGGCCCTGCCGAGCTCCCGAGTCAGATTCAAAGGTCTTGCAAGGCCAGAGTTTCACGGTCAGGCTTTGCGGCAGGGCAAATGGCCAGTGGGAAACCACCCAGTACTGAGGGCCCTGGGCTGGCTTGGATCAGATGTTCCGGTGGAAAAGGTGTATTGGCGAATACACTTGACATAGGACACTTAGTGACAAAGTCACTGTCATGTACACAGGAGACTCACTGAAGACACTTACAGTGAAGACACTGTTATAGTCACAAGGGGACTCCGTAAACACAACACTTACATGTACAGAACATTCGGTGAAGAAACTCCTTACACGCACTTCACACACCGCACACTCACACATTTCACACCACACCAAACCACACGCGCACCACCACCCCCCCCCCCCACCTCCTCACACGTACATGTGAATGCGCTTTTGTATGACCTGCCGGCACAGCGGGCACTGCGCCAGGCCCGGTGCGCAGGCCCCGCACGCACCGTGCCCGCACAGGAAGACGATGTCGCGGATCTGGTCCATGCACACGGGACACGTGAGCCGGCTCTCCATGTCGCGGCACCGCCGCACCAGCTCTGCCACCTCCTCCGCGCCTGCGCCGCCGCCGGCGCCGGGGTCGCCCACCGCTGGCAACACCGCCGACGGGGCGGGAGCGCCTTCCCCACCCCCCACCATCAGCGGTAGCCCCGACGAGGACGGCGAGAGCGACGACGATGGCGTCGGGGGCGTCTGGAGAGACGCGATGTCGAGCTCCGTGCCGTCTGCTTGGAACAGAGGACAGGCGGACGGATGGACAGACGGATGGATAGTTGCATGGACAGACGGATGGAAAGGACAGTCAGACAAATGGATGGATGGGCAGATGGGCAATGGGATGGATGAACGGATAAGTTACATGGACAAATGGATGGATGGGTGGATAGTCGGAAAAATGGAAACATGGACAGACAAATGGACGGATGGATAAATGGATAAACGTACGGATGGATGACCGGACGGACAGACAGTTGCATGGACAAATGCATGGATGAAGAAATGGATAAACAGACAAATGGATGGATGGGCAGATGGACAAACGTATGGGTGGATGACCGGATGGATGGACGGACAGTTGCATGGACAAATGGATAGAGGGACAGTGGAACAAACGAACAGATGTTCAAGATAGGCCGTACCCATTCGAAAAAAAAAACTTAAGGACAAATGAATGCTGGAAAGCATTACATAAGGTTTAGGTTTTTAAAATAACAAGTTGTATATGGCGTCGTTCGTGCCACCTGCATCTCACAAGGAACTGCAGTCGAGCAGGAAGGCAGCAGCCAGGCGGGGTGCCGACTATAGCAGCGCTTCCCCAAGCTCTGCAGTCCCCTATGCATCAAGATGTTCTCAATCAATTAAGGCACATTCATACATGTGGGAGGAAACTGTAGCCGTGTGAGCGAGGGGGCAACACTCTATCCCACACAGAAGGGTCGCATGATGATAAGCCCGCACTTTGCCGCACTGCCTTCTCCTGGTATGGATACTCCTCGACGCCCACCCGCGGGAAGGGAGTTGCTGTGACATTGAGAGATCCGACAATCCTCGCTGCTTCCATAATGCCGGGTTACACGTGCACGCGAGCGCGTGTGCGTCAACGCCGCCAACGCGTACGCGCGACTTTTTCCTTCCTCGTTTGAAACAAATAAACCAAACATTCCCTTTTTCGCACATTCTATTCCATTCTATTCCATTCGTGCTGCTGTCGGGCGTCGTGATCACAGAGACGCGATGGGGAAGCTATCGCTGGGATCTCGAGCAGCGAGCAGTGCACCACCCTAAGTGGTGGAGGAGGAGCGTAGAGATGTCACCACTCACCTGATCGCAACTTCTTGACAATGGTCACTTGGCACGAAATGCATTTCTTCATCTTCACTGTGCACTCTGTAAGGGTGAGTGCGGTGGGGGGGGGGGAGAAGAGCAGGAGTCAGGTTAATATGGTAAGAACAAAAATCCCCCGTGTAGCCTTAACAGACTGGTGGAGCAAGTGCTGTTAGCGAGCACACACCCACACACCCACACACCTACACACAGGTGAACAAACAAGTGAACGAGCGTGCAAGTGAGTGGGCGGATGAGAGAACAATTAAGAGAGCGAGTGAATGCCTGAGCGAAATTTGTTCGTTCATGAATTAATTCAGTAGGCGAATTAATTCATGAACGAGCAAGCAAGCGAGCAGGGAAGTGCAGCAGCGGGCAACAGAAAAAAAATCGTGAACAAACGAGTGAACAAACAAGCGAGCGCGTGAACAAACGAGCGGGCAAGCGAGCTCGGGGAGCAACATGGCCTCAGCCGCGATGTTGCTGCCGCACCTTCGCACGCGACGCTGTGCTCGCACGGCAAGAAGCGCACCAGCGCCGCCACCTCGTTGCACACCAGGCACTCGGCGTGCTCCGCCACTGCTATCGCCGCCGCCGCCGCCGCCGGCGCCGCCGCCACCGCAACCATCACCGGGGGCTGCTGGGGCGACGGCGTCACCATGGCCAGGTTGGTGACGGTGTTGGGCGGGTTGGGAGGGGGCACGCGGCGCGGGCTGGGCGCGTGGCTCCCGGCGAGACACTGCAGCGGCGGCCCCGCCGACGGCCCCGCCGACGGCCCCGCCGACGGCCCCGCGCCGCCACCGGCGAGCGTGGCCTCCCGCCGAGCCTGCTGGGCCCTGCGCGAGAGAGACGAGCCGCGTGACCGTGCCAGTCGCGGTCCATGCGTGTCTGTGCGCTTGTTGTGTCTTTTGTGTGTGTGTGGCTGTGCCTTTTTCTTCGTAATTAAGGCGGCCGGGCGTGGCGCTGGCCACCCACCCCCTTTGTGTGCAACAGTGGCGATCTTCATCGGTGCTGCTCGCTAACAGCACCCGCCCCTAAAGCCTGTTAAGGCTATAGGGGGATCTTTGTCTGTGTGTGTCCCCGTGTGTCTTTGTGCTGAAAGCGGCTGCGCGTGGTGCTGGCCGCCTACTTGCCCCAAAAGTATGTAAAGGCCACGCACGGGGAATATTTGTTTTTGTGTGCGTCTGTGTGTCTCTGTGTGTGTCCGCGTGTATCTTTGTCTTTAAAGGCTACACAGGGGGGGGGGGGGGGCGGGGGGGAACACCTTCGCCCATCGCACCAGTCAGCGAAGTCCTTGAGCAGCTGCGCCAGGCGGGGGTCGTGCACGAGGTCGAGCGGCGCCTTTCCGCGCACGTTGGGCAACGCGATGTCGGCGCCCTCCTGCGCCAGGAAGCAGGCGATGGCGGCGCCCGTCGTCGGGTCCGTGGGGCCCAGCAGCCCCGTGCTCTTCAGCTGCACACAGGGACGGGAGATCCCCCACAACGCTGTAGCCGGGCATTGTTAGCGAACGCCTGTTAAGGCTGGCGCGGCGCACGGACGTGGCGAAGCGGTCGAACGCCACGCTCGGCCACCTTTGTCTTCCCACTGCTGGAGGTCAACACACCGCAACGAGCACTCATTTGTTGAACTGCTTTCCCTCCGTACGTAGCCAAGCGGGCGAATCGGAGGTGCGGGCTAGGGGAGAGGGTGGCCCCAGGACCGGTCCAGACATTCGTCACCGACGTTGGCCGAGAGCGAGAATCAAACTCGGGTCACGCCGGGTTCGCAGCGTGGGGCGCTATCCCTTCCCACGCCCCGCACCTCCAACGAATACGGCATGGGCTACGTACGGTGTGATACAAGTTCAACGTACAACAAAAACAAAGATTCCCCGTATAGCCTCAACAGACTGTTGGGGAAAGTGCTGTTAGCGAGCACCTATGAAGGCCGGCATGGCACACGAGGGAAGGGGTGGGCTAGTCCCACAACCCAACCGCCTTTGCTTCCCCAGTGGCGATGTTTACATACCGAACTAGGTACTCATTTGAGGCTGAGTCTACCTAGGGGAGGCCCAGGACCGGTTTAGATATTCGTCACTGATGTTGGCCATGAGCGGGAATTGAACTCGGGTCGCCAGGTTTGTAGCGGTAGCGTAGCGCTAACCGCTACGCTACCGCTCCCGACAACAACAAACACGTGCGCACACACGCACATTGCACAAGCACTAGCGAACGCGCGAGGAAACCCCACGGATCCCCGCAAAGTCACCGTCTTCCCCAGCGGCTCACCCGGTTGACGAGCGAGTCGTTGGCGGCGCGAGTAGAAGACTGGGCGCACTGCCCAGTGCCGGCCGCACCGGCGGCACCGCCGCCGCCGCCGCCGCCCGACCCTCCGGCGACTCCGGCGACCCCTGCGGGCGCCATGGCCGCACGCATGGGGCCCAGCGCGAGGTGCAGCGCCGTGTCGCCGTCCTCGTCACGCGCGTTCACGTCGCAGCGCTCCGCCACCAGCAGCTGCACCAGCTCAACGTGGCCCTGCAGCACGGCGAGCAGCAGCGGCGTCTGCGCCCGGTTCGTCCGCACGTCCACGTCGCACTGGCCCTGGGCGCGCCGCGGCGGGGCGAGGCAACGGGGTGGGGGATCGAGACGATGTGGGCATGGGCGGAGCCGTCGGTGCCACCGCCGCCACCGCCGTGGAAACTCGTCGCAACACAAACGCGTTCTACGCAACCCCCGCCCCACCCCCGCCAGATCCCCCAGCTGCTGTGCAGGAGACAAGCGGCGACCTCCAAGATCTGCCCCGACCGTATTCATCCTGACCTTAGATAGACTCAGAGACCCACACTCGCACAGAGACCCATAGACTCACGTGGAGACCCACATAGAGACCCACAGACTCACACAGAGACCCACAAACTTACAGAGAGCACCAGAGACTTATATAGAAACCCATAGACTCACATAGAGATGCACAGACTTTTATAAAGACCCACAGACTCACATAGAGAACCACAGACTCACATATAGACCCACAGACTTACACAGAGACCCACAGACTCGCACAGAAACCCACATACTTACACAGAGACCCACAGACTCACATAGAGACCCACAGACTCACATAGAGACCCACAGACTCACATAGATACCCACAGACTCACATAGAGCCCCACAGACTCACATAGAGACTCACAGACTCATATGGAGACCCACAGGCACGAAAAAACCCCACAGACTCACAGAGACCTACAAATTCACAAAGACACCCACAAACTCACATAGAGACCCACAAACTGACACAGAGACCCACTAACTCACAGAGGCCCTATAGGTCTGTCCTAACAGCATTCCCACAATCTGGTCTTCGGTATTTTCTTTCCCTCGGTCGTGGAGACCGCTTCAATGTCCAATCTCGGTAAATCGTCTCTCACCCATCCTGCACGTACGTCTCACGCAGCGCTGCTGCGATTGTGCACACGCACGTATGGACGTTGAACTTCTTTCGCACTGTACGTAGCCAACTGTGTTAAATGCACGCGAGGTTGCCTAGCCTTATCTCCAACACTTACCACCCCTGCCCCATTCTCTGCTGCACGTCTGCACTGCTCATCCTATCTTGCCAAGATATTCCTCACATCTGTCTCAGACACCTGCGGTCAAAGGCTTGCTCTCCTTTTTTTCTACAGCAATAACAATTTAAAGTTATAAAGCGCCCTTAAGCAATCGTTCCCAGAGCGCGAGTCGTGCAGATGGAGGAAGTGGAAGGTTCACAGTGGCCGTGTCGGAGACAAGCCGGCACAAACCGCCACTAGAGTCCTGCATCACGGCCAGGAGTCGAACCTGCATGACACTTTGGCAATAGGCCACGTGAAGGGATCATGGGGGTTGTCCACCCACCCCACGATGCCTGGGGCTGGGTGTCTCTCACTCTCGCTGAATTGATTCACAATGGCCGTGTCGGCTGACACTCGGCCGACACCAAGCCCACACTCACCGAGGTCGTGTGACGGCCAGAATATCGAAGCTGCGTCATTGAGGCGCGCAGAGGGGCAACCCACCTCTGCAATGAGTAGGCGGGCGACCTCTTGATGGTTGTTGAGGGCGGCGAGGTGTATGGGGGCGAAGCCGTCATCCTTCTTGACGTCCACCAGCTGCCGCGCGCGACCCAGGATCTTGTGCGTGGCTCTGTGGTGCGTGGAGGGTCGGAGGTTCTCAAGTTGATTTTGTTTAACTAGGGGAGAACTCAAGAGACCAGGTTGTACGAGTGGCATGGCTCAAACGTCAGGGTCAGCAGTCAGGGTCACAAGACGTGCGTGCCACCTGCGTGCAGACGCTCAGCCAATCACACCCAATCACACCCGCTCTCACACAAAGACCAAGATCCCCCGTATAGCCTGTTGGGGCAAGCGGTGTTCGGGTGCACCTATGAAGGCCGGAAAGGGACACGAGGGAGTGGGTGGCCAGCACCACGCCCGGCCGCCTTTGTTTCCCTAGTGTCGATGTTTACTATACACCGCAGCAGGTCCTCATTTGAGGTTGAGTCGACCAAGGGAAAGCCCAGGACCGGTTAAAATTATCTTCAATGGTGTTGGCCGCGAGCGGGAATTGAACTCGGCTCGCTGGGTTCATAGCGTAGCGCGCCTATCGCTAAACTACTGCTCCCCACACACACACCCACGCACACAACAACTGCCATTCGCCACTAAGTGCCATTGACGTCACGGCGCTTGTGCCAGAATATGTGCACGTTAAGGCCCGCTGGCAGGAAGTCACGGGACAGACCCAGATACGACGGGTTGACTGACTGAAATGACTGGCCGATGTACCACCTGTGCCCCCGACTGTGTCAATTTGCTGCGTTGTAGCCGCCTGGCACTCGTCCTGAGCGCCGCTCCTGCGCCCTCCGTTGTTGCTGGAAGGCGACTGCCCCAAACTGCCCAGTAGCGTCATTCTTGAGCCTCCTCCACAGAGGCCGACCTTGACACCGCTGATACCAGTCATCGGCAAGTCCACTCTGCTCCACATCCTCTTGTACCACATCACTTCATCTCTTCTCTAGCCCATGCCACACCCGTTTAGCCCCCTTTATCCCGCCAAACAAAGTATGTTTAGGCATGCTGTGTCTGGGAATGCGGGCTACATGACCCAGCCAACGTCGCCCTGCCTGCCGGAGGAACTGCCCAGGTACGGACAGTGTGCTCATAACATTCGCACGCACAAATACACGCACGCACGCACACAAACGCACTCATGTTCACACACGCACTCCCTCACGCGGCAACTCACATGGCACTGCCCTTAAGTGCCGCCTGGTGGAGCAAGTTGAAGCCGCGGCGGTTGCGCAGGGAGAAGTCAGCGGTGGGCACTGCGCTCAGCTGCTCCACCACGTCACGGTGGTGGCGCGAGATCGCCTCGTGCAGCGGTGTGTCGCCGTCCACGTCCTGGCCGCACCACCGCCGGCGGGTGACAGAGGAGGGGGGGGGGAGGGCACGGGATCACGAAAGGAGTGAGGGGAGTGGGCGTGGGTGGCACAGTGTAGGGACGTAAGGGGCACACGGGTGAGAATTTGGCCAAACCCATAGCTCCATTTACGTTTGCATCCGTTTGTCTTTCCATTCGCTCGTGTTTCCTGTTAGTCTCTCCACCTGTCTCCAATCATCCACCTGTGTATCTGTCCGTCTCTATTCATTCGTCTGTTCACTAACCGGTCCGTCCGTGTGCGTCCGTCTGTCAGGTCTGTCCACTTAGCTGCGCGCATCTGTCCGCCTCCCCGCACGCGCTTGGAGGTCCTTGTCGCTCACCTGCGCGTTGACGTCGGCTCGGTGAGCCAGCAGGGCCATCACCACGTCCGTGTGCCCGATGCTCGCCGCCACGTGCAGCGCGGTGGTGCTCGCTTTGTTGGCCGCGTCCACGTTAGCACCGGCGCCCAGCAGCGCCGTCGCCGCCGCCGCGCGGTTGCTGCGTGGGGGTGAAGGGGAAGGTCATTAACAAGCGCCCATTGAGGCTGGCACCACACAACACCCTACGACACGAGTGTTGACCTGGCAAGGCCAAATCCAAGCCACGTCGCCACTGCGTGGCGAGCAGCATAGTATCGGACTCAACTGGGACACGCAGTGAGCCGTCAGCTCCTTCCCTGATCTGTCCTGCCCACTGTCATGTAGCCCTGCCCACTCGGTCGCCAGCACCGCCCACTTTGAAGTAGCCCTGCCCACTCGGTCTCCAGCACCGCCCACTTTGACGTAGCCCTGCCCACTCGGTCGCCAGCACCGCCCACTTTGACATCGCCCTGCCCACTCGGTCGCCAGCACCGCCTGCTTTAATGTAGCCCTGCCCACTCGGTCTCCAGCACCGCCCACTTTGACATCGCCCTGCCCACTCGGTCGCCAGCACCACCCACTTTGACGTAGCCCTGCCCACTCGGTCGCCAGCACCGCCCACTTTGACGTCGCCCTCCCCACTCGGTCGCCAGCACCGCCCACTTTGATGTAGCCCTGCCCACTCGGTTGCTAGCACCGCCCACTTTGACGTAGCCCTGCCCACTCGGTCGCAAGCACCGCCCACTTTGACGTAACCCTGCCCACTCGGTCACCAGCACCGCCCACTCTGACATAGCCCTTCCCACTCGGTCGCCAGCACTGCCCACTACTCAGGTAGCCCTGCCCACCGCTCAGTCAGCTCCGCCCTTTGCCCAAGTCGTTGCGAGTTGAGCATGAGGTCCAGAACATTTTAAACCGCCAATGAAGGCAGATTTTCACAGGAGCTTCAGGACACCGGGAGAGGTTTACTGAATCCACTGCAACTGTCCCAGCCAAAACGGGACATTTGGTAATTTTTAATTAACCAGGCCCCATCAATCCTAACTTTCCTAATCAGACAGAGTCAGTGGCGCATGTATTACTAGTTATCTGAACTTGGTCTAGTTGAAACCCAAGACAGTCCAAATTTAGAGTATTTGGCTGCTATAAATGTCCACGTGAGGATAAGCCATTTTGTTGAGTTATCATTTGTGATAAACAACGTCGCTTCTGAAAAAGAGCTACATAGCTCAGTGGTCCTTATCTGGTTAAAAAAATAGTTTTAGTTTAGTTTATTCTCAGTAAAGTCAGGTCTTTTTTTCAAATCAGCCCCTGTCAGTCTCCAGGTGTTCCTAAGCAACTGTGAAGCAGTTCTAGGCTCGGCCTCCAACACTCAGGCTCAGCTCTGGCTCGGCCTCCAACACTCAGGCTCAGCTTTTGCTCGCCCTCTAATACTCAGGCTAGGCTGTGGCTCAGCTTCTAACACTCAGGCTCAGCTTTCGCTCGCCCTCTAATACTCAGCTCTGGCCTGAACTGCTCGGTGATTCCCAAAGACTGCGTGAGTGAGCGCCTCGGCTGTGGCTCGGGGCTCATGCTCGTAAGAATCCTGAGCACGGCTGGGACCGTGCTCAGAGCTGGCTCAAGTGAAGCGTGGTGCCTCTGAGCCGACTCACTGCAGCCAGAGCCAATCCTGAGCCGTGCCGCGGCCAAGAATACCGGGGCCGTCCTTCGTCTTCCCGGCGGTGCCGCCATTGCCAACTCCCCCCGCCTGCCGGCCCGCCCACACGTGCCAGTGGGGGTCAGAGCCGGTGGAGCGGCACTCACCCGAAGGCGGCGTAGTGCAGCGCGGCGTCACCCTCGTCGTCGCGCACGTCCGTGCGGGCCCCCGCGCGGAGCAGGGCGTCCAGCAGGGCCCCGTGGCCCGTGAAGGACGCCACCTGCAGTGCAGTCTTTCCCTGGCTCCGTCCGTCCACCTGCAGGAAGACAAAGACCCCCCCCGAGTAGCCTTAACAGACTGCTGGGGCAAGTGCTGTTAGCGAGTAGCATCCGTGAAGGCCGGCACTGTGGCAGACGAGGGGGTAGGTGGCAATGTTGAGGCCCAGGACCAGTTTAAATAATGTTGTATTTGGTTTACTCTCTAACACACGACCGGTGTGCTGAACTAGTAACGCACTGGCACACTTTGTTTACGTGACGAACTCCTTACTAAGTAGCTGCGGCGGGTAGTGGTGGGTTTAACGACAATTATATTTGCACAATCTTCAAACTCCTATTGGAATAGTGAGTGGGAGAAGAGGGAGGAAAGAGAGGAGAGGGAGGAGTAGGAGGAGGAATCGAATTCGGGTCGCCGGGTTCGGAGGGCAGCGCGCTAACCGCTGCACTCCCGTTCCCAACATACACACATAAAAGACAAAAATCCCCCGTATAGCCTTAACAGACTGTAGGGGCAAGTGCTGTTCGCGAGCACCGATGAAGGCTGGAACAATACACGAGGGGGTGGGTGGCCAGCACCACGTCCGACCGCCTTTGTCTCCCCAGTGGTGATGTTTACACACTGCACCAGGTACTCATTTGAGGCTGAGTCGACCTAGGGGAGGCCCAGGACCGGTTCAGACACACACACGCACACACATACATACACACAAACAGACAAACGTGTACTACTACAACAACAACAGCAGCCGTTCGTCACCGAGTGGCGGCAATGTCGCTACGGTGCTTGTGCCAGGCTAGGTACACTCTGAGGCCGTTGGGTGATGTGCAGAAGCCTCGTTGGCAGGATGTCACGGGGATGTGACCGAATGAGATGGCTGGCAGATGCATCATCTGTGCCCTCCGCTAAATTGGCGCGGCATGGGCTAGAGAAGAGATGGAGTGATGTGGTACAGGAAGATGTGGAGCTGAGTGGACTTGCCGATGACTGGTACCAGCGGTGTCAAGATCGGCCTCTGTGGAGGAGGCTTGTGAAGGACGCTACTGGGCAGTTAGAGGCAGTCGCCCTCCAACAGCAACGGAGGGCGGAGGAGCGACGCTCACAACGAGCGGAGCGCCGGGTGGCTAAAGCACAGCAAGTTGGCGCAGTAGGGGGCATAGGTGGTGCATCAGCCAGTCATTTCGGTCATCTCAGTCAGTCGACCCGTGGCACCTGGGTCTGCCCCGTGACTTCCTGCCAGCGGGCGTTCGACACTTCACGTGACCTCAACGTGCACATAGCCTGGCACAGGCGTCATGGTGACGTCATTGCCACTTAGTGGTGAATGGCGGATGTTGTGTTTTTATTTGTGTTTTTATTTGTGTGTGCGTGTGTGTACGTTTGTGTGGCTCACCTTGTCTGGATATCGCTGCAGAATCTCCACGACCCTGCCCACGTTGCCGAGCGACGCCTCGCTCACCAGCTCCGACACGCCGCTGCTGTCCTCTGTGGCCACTCCGTGCACCGCCATGCCGTCCTTCTGGCACACCATGGCTGCCCCTGCGCCACCGCCACCACGGCACACGTGCACGCCGCTCCTGGTTCGACTCCTTGCTGTGGCTCAAAGCTAGACGGTCAAACGATTGAACGATTCCTCCCCACTGAATGTCAGTGCGCGTGTAGGCATGCGTGCAGGCATGCGTGTGCGTCTGTTTATATGTATGTGTAATAAACAACTTCCACGACGATCTTTGTCAGAGTGCTTCTTTATTAACTGTGGTACTTCACAGCCTTCGCTCCTTCGGTCTCTGGGTAGTTTCCCTTGCACAACACCATAGACGAGCGTCTCTCTCTCTCTCTGGCCCACCAGTGAGGTTCGCTCCGCTCCCCCGGTCTCGCCGTTGGCTGGCGGCGCGCCGGAGAGGAGAGACGAGCCTCGCTGGAGAACCCGCCACGTGGTCGTTGGCGCAGACAGGAGTTGAGGAGCAGTGACCCAAGGCTCCCCACCCCGACCACGAGTCCTCCCCTGCCTCTGCTTATATCCACCCCGGCGGAGCTAGGCTCCGCCTCTAGCCACGCCCCCTCGAGAAACCTTCCCGATGGTTCCCGAAGCATCCGTCCCGACTCCGCCCGTCACTTTTGACCCAGATGTTATTCCCTCTTAGGATTGGATGCCGATTACACAATAGTGCCTGTACCCAGTTACCCTCTGGCACCCACTGGATGGCGCTCTCTCATTACATCACCCCCCCCCCCGTAATAAAAAGACTAGCCATCCCGGCTAGAGATAAAACCCATATAAGTGTAGTGGGTAATAAACTGGAGGGAGCTTACTTTGAGGCAACATGTTTATTACAACACCAACAGACTACAACACGAAGGGGTAACGGCCCCTTCCACCCGATACTCTATGTAGGGAGTCCCCCGGGCTAGCTCGCCTCTTACTGGCTATCACTACGCCTACACTGCTGGGGCTTGAGTCTTCTCTTGAGTCTTCACTGGTTATAAGCTGGAGCTCTCATTGGTACGAGCTCGAGCCGACCCTAACCAGGGGTTCGGCTCTGCCCATTGGGCTCTTCTCTTCAGGGCTCCAGGTGAGGCTCTTCGGTCTTCGGCCGGACGATGACTGAGCTGGACCCCTCGGGGCCCTGGCTTCTATACAGGATCCTGGAGGGGTAACTCCGCCCCTGGCCACGCCTCCCTTCCAGAACATTCTCCAAGGGCCTGGAGAATGACCTCATCCCCCAGCCCCCTGGATACTCGAGCGTGAGCGCGTCCGACAATCGTTCGCAAAGGGCCAAAAACGCCCCATTTAAATCTCTTATTTTTAGCAGTTCACGCAAAATGCGGCACAAACCTACGGTAATAACACAAATCCGACGAAACTGCGCACATCACCCACACACGTGGGGGTCAGCCAAGCACGAACACAGGCCGTTTTTTTCCGGGTCCGTGGCGATGCCCTCGGAGCTGACAATGCGACCCAAATAACGCACAGAATTTTGCAGCAAGTGAGGTTTAGCCGGTTTAAATTTCAAGTTAGCAAAGCGCATTCTATCGAAAACGGAGGGCAACCGCCGAAGATGTTCATCAAAAGTGCGGCTAAAAACTATAACATCGTCTAAGTAAATGAGACAAGTGTCTCACTGTAGGCCGGTCAAGACGAGCTCCATCAGCCGCTGAAAGGTAGCCGCAGCCGAAATCAAGCCCATCGGAAGGCAATTAAATTTAAAGAGTCCGAGGCGTGCGGAACGTGGTTTTCGGCTTAGATGAGTCGTCCAGGGGCAGTTGCCAAAACCCCGAAGACAAATCGAGAGTGGAGAAATATCGCGCCCTGGACAAGGCGTCTAGACAATCGTCCATGCACGGCAGCGGATATGCGTCGGTTACCGAAACTTTGTTCAACTTGCGGAAATCAACGCAAAATCTGAGGTTACCATCCTTCTTCTTGACGAGCACAATGGGCGCGTCCCCAGGGCTGTGAGACGGGAAAATAATATCGGCGGTCAGCATGCCGTTGACCGCTCGTTGCACGCGTTCCTTCTCCACCGGGCTCAACCGGTGCGAATTTTGACGAATAGGGCTGGCCTCACCCGTATCAATGTGGTGAGACAACAGGGATGTACGACCTAGATCGAATTCATTCTTACTAAATACGTCCGAAAACTCGCATATAAGTGAACGCAATCTGTTCCGTTGCTCGGAAGACATAACGCGGCAGCCCATCGATCATCCGCAATGTGACAAGGGTGAGCCGCTCCCACCAATTGCTGCGGCTCAACCTCGTCGCGGTCAAAAAAACGCGGTGGTGGCATGAGCCAACACTGTACCAGCGGGAACTACAACAGCGTCCGGGCCCCCGTTAAGAACCTGCAAGAACGGGGCTTGCCCGGAGCGAAGGATGGTCTGTGCACCGACAAGAGCCAGACCCCGGGTCGCAGTATTAGATGGGGTCAGAAGGACCCCAGCCGTCGAATCAACACATCCGATTCCCTTACGATAACGCAACAGCACAAGCATTTGGTATCCCTGTGGAATCTCGACCGTGACATCAACGAGGGCTTGTACAGCAGCGCTCGGTGAAGAAGGCAACAACGGCGATGGCAAAAAAAAAACGTGCGACCCGAGGGCATTTCCAAGCAACCCTGATCTACCAGGATCTTAACGGGCATCATTCTAAGAAAATCAGTACCAAGCAAGCAGGGCACAGCCAACGACCTAGAAATCAGAACCGGTTCCGATACGGCCACATCACCAATGACAATGCGGGCTTCCACCTGCCCAATGATGCCCATGCTACCCCCATTCGCTGCAACACAAGCGCCAATGACCGGGCGGATTTGAGAATAAGGGATCGACAGCAATTGAAGAAAAACATCAGAAATAATCGTAGCGGAAGCCCCCGTGTCCACTAAGACGCGAACGTCTACTCCCTGTATCGAACCAGGCAGCGCCGAGGATCCCGCAGCCGCCGCTACAACGCGACGCGCTCATTTCTTCCACTGTGTCACCGAATTAGGCCAATGCCAAGTAACCGAACCCGATTGCATGGCGTCAGCAAACGAATCGTGCTGTGAACGAACGAGTCCCATGTCATAAGATGCAGGGGGTTGCGAAATGGGCCGGGTGTCCAACGTGTACCGACTCGCCTGTGGAGGTGGAGGTTGAGCCGTCGGAGGAGCAGCAGGAGCCGGAGCAGCAGCCAAAGTCGGAGATCGAGGGCGACTCCGGCATTCCCACGAAGTGTCCCAGCCGGCCGCATGGGTAGCAGGTTACGGGCGGCCGTTGAGCCCCCCAGACCTCACGCTGACGTGGTCCCTCGAACCGTTGGCGACGTGCAGTGTCCCCCCGTCTTCGATTCCACAGAGGAACCGCAGCGGCGGATTCACCTTCAGAGGACGTGTCAGCGGGCGGAATGTCGACGACTTTGGTCGGCGACCACCCCTTCAGTTCCCCGTCCCGACTAGGGTCGCCTGTCCATGCCGCCATCTGAGACCACCGCTGCAAGCTCTCGTGAGCGTGAACACACCTGGCGGCCCAACGGGATGATTGTACATCGTGGCCACACGCAGGCAAAACCACCCCCATGACCCTCGCCAGAGCCAGCATACGGTCCATAACAAGCGAGTCGAGGGCTTCTTGTTTCACGTCAGGGTAGGCGGCCGCAGCCAACGCCAACAGCGCACTACGGTCGACGAGAGGTGACTCGGAACTCCCTCGCCTAGGTTGCATAAACTTTCGTCAGGTGGTGGCTCGTAATCTTCTGCCATCTCGGCATACGCACCTTGTAAAGTTGCCTTCTTGTCCGGAGGGATCAACCTGAACACCGCCAGGGCATCGTCATCTAACACAGTCGGTAGAGCGACTAGCGCCTCCCTCTCCGACCAGCGCACCGAACGAAATGCTGCCTCAAACCTCCAAGTGAAGGCGCTCCAGTCGCCGCCGGCCGCGACAAATTCGTTAACATGAGGGAGTCGTCAGGTGCGATCGGCACCGCCTCGTCTCACCTCCGTGGCGGCCCCCGCACCTTGCACACCACGCGGCCCGTCCAAAATGGCGAGCTCCGACCGCGCCTTCGCCGCTCCTTCCAAAATGGCGGCGTCTTGCCGCGTGGCATCCTCGGCGCGTAAAATTGCGGACGTCTCTTCAGCGCCTGTAATGGCGGACGTCGCCTCTATAGGAGAACCTGCCGAGACTCCAGCCTCGGACCTCCTGTCGCCATCCCCGGGCGATGCTTCGGGTGGACGCCCCGACACTGTAGACGTCGCAACGAGCGACAACACCTGAAGGAGAACCGTCCGCAGCGACTCTAGCTGCTCCTCCACCCTCCTCCAGCCGTCTTCGGCTCACTGGGGCGGAGATGCCGCGGCCGCGCCGACCGCCTCCGGTGCAGCAACCTCACCAGCCGTGGTTCCTGTGACCGGGACCGCAGATCCCGGGCTCGGCAGGTCTTGGGTCCCCGCCTCATCGTCGTCGGAAGACGCTGCAGGTGGGTTCTTCTTCTTGAGATGTTTAGACATTGCTCGCGACTGGTAAAATTTATTCTATTGAAGGACCACTTCTGACACCAATGTAATAAATGACTTCCACGACGATCTTTGTCAGAGTGCTTCTTTATTAACTGTGGTACTGCACAGCTCCGCTCCTTCGGTCTCTGGGTAGTTTCCCTTGCACAACATCAGAGACGAGCGTCTCTCTCTCTCTCTCTCTGGCCCACCAGCGAGGTTCGCTCCGCTCCCCCGGTGTCGCCGTTGGCTGGCGGCGCGCCGGAGAGAAGAGACGAGCCTCGCTGGGGAACCCGCCACGCGGTCAGTGGCGCAGACAGGAGTTGAGGAGCAGCGACCCAAGGCTCCCCACACCGACCACGAGTCCTCCCCTGCCTCTGCTTATATTCACCCCGGCGGAGCTAGGCTCCGCCTCTAGCCACGCCCCCTCGAGGAACCTTCCCGATGGTTCCCGAAGCATCCTTCCCGACTCCGCCCGTCACTTTTGGCCCAGATGTTATTCCCTCTTAGGATTGAATGCCGATTACATAATAGTGCCTGTATCCAGTTACCCTCTGGCACCCACTGGATGGCGCTCTCTCATTACATATGAATGGGGAGCGGTAGTGTAGCGGTTAGCACGCTGTGCTACGAACCTGGCGACCCGAGTTCGATTCACGCTCATGGCCAACACCAGTGACAATCATCTGCACTAGTCCTGCACCTCCCCTAGGTCAACTCAGCCTCAAATGAGCACCTGGTACGCTGTGTAAACATTGCCACTAGGGAGACAAAGGTGGCCAGGCATGGTGCTGGCTGGCCACCTGCCTTGTGTGCCGTTCTGGCGCTCATAAGTGCTCGCTAACACTTATGGGGAATCTTTTGTTTGTTGTTGTGCGTGCACGTGTGCGCACGTGTGCGCGCGTGTGGGCACGTGTGTGCACGTGTGTGCACGTATGTGCGTGTGTGGGCATGTGTGTGCGTGTGTGGGCGTGTGTGCCCGTGTGTGTGCGCGTGTGGGCGTGTGTGCACGTGTGTGCGTGTGTGGGCGTGTGTGTGCACACATGTGCGTGTGTGGGGGCGTGTATGGGCGTGTATGTGCGTGTGTAGGCATGTGTGCCCGTGTGTGTGCACGTGTGTGCACGTGTGTGCGTGGGCGTGTATAGGCGTGTGTGGGCGTGTGTGTGCACGTGTGTGTGCACGTGTGTGTGCACACGCGTGCGTGTGTGCGTGTGTGGGCGTGTGTGTGCACGTGTGTGCGTGTGTGGGCGTGTGTGTGCACGTGTGTGCGTGTGTGCGTGTGTGCACGTGTGTGCGTGTGTGCCCGTGTGTGCCCGTGTGTGCCCGTGCCACCCACCCTCCCTATGCTCCGTGGACATGAGGTTGTTGGCGTCGACGTCTCCGAGTCTCACAGCGCTCACGCACAGCGCATTGAACGTCCACACCTTGTCCCGCACGCACACACGCAGGTCCCCGTCCGTATACACCTTGACCACCTGTCCCACCTGCCCCACCGCCTGTCGACACACGCACACCAACAAAATAAACGAACCCCAAATAGCTTTCAACAGACTGTTGAGGCGAGTGCTGCTCGCGAGTAGCACCCATGAAGGGTGAAACGGCGCACGAGGGGGTGGCTGCCGAGCACCACGGTCGGCCGCCTTCGTCTCCACCGTGGCGATGTTCACACATCGCACCAGGTACTCATCATTGAGGCACATACAGACACTAGTCACACACTAGTCACACACACACACTAGTCACACACTAGTCACACACACACACACTAGTCACACACACACACACACACGTACAGATCCCCCGTGTCGCCTTTACCAGACTGCAAAGTTACTGCGTTGTTACGGTGATACAACTACGGTGATAGGATGTATCGTAGTATCGTTGTGTTACGGTGATATTACGATACATTGGACAACATAAAAATCCACAATGGTACTGTCCATTTAGCAAAGCAATCATGCTTACACAATTCCGACAAAATACAAACAGGCGATTACTCCTGGAGGGATGAATGGGGTTCGCGATCACGATTACAACGTCCTAACCTCATAACTGCCCGCCGAGTGTGGGGCGGCACTCATTTCCAAAGCCCGTTGGTGGAAATTCCACATTGCCATGACAGGGGCTGTTGGGAGGAACTGACCGTTCGCATGGCCTCATTCCACTCGCCGTGGCCGACCTGGAGCTGCTTCACGCGATCCTCGTCATCCAGCACGCGCACAAGGTCACCAACGCTGAACGTGTCCACCTGACGGCACACACGGTGAGGAGACATTGCGTACACACGTGTGTGTGTGTCTGTGCAAGTGTGTGTACGTGTGTGTGTCTGTGCAAGTGTGTGTACGTGTGTGTGTACGTGTGTGTGTACGTGTGTGTGTACGTGTTGACACAGTAGGGGGCACAGGTGGTGCATCGGCTAGTCATCTCAGTCGACCCGTGGCACCTGGGTCTACCCCGTGACCTCCTACCAGCGGGCGTTGGACACTTCACGTGGCCTCAACAAGAACATAACCTGGCACGGGCGCCGTGGTGATGTCACCGCCACTTAGTGGCAAATGGCGGTTGTTATTATTGTTGTGTACGTGTGTGCGTGTGTGTGTACTTACGTGTGTGCACGTGTGTGCACGCCTGTGTGTGTCTGTGCAAGTGTGTGCATGTGTAAGCGTGTGTGCACGTATAGAGGCGTGTGTGCACGTATAGAGGTGTGTGTGCATGTATGTGCACACACACCTCTACAGGGGCATCACTCCTCAGTGTGCTGGGAAAGGTCCTGGCAAGGATTATTCAACATCGCCTTGCTAGGCACGCTGAGGAGAGGCTTGCAGGAGCCCCAATGCGGTTTCAGGAAAGGGCGGTCCTGCACGGATGCCATATTTTCTGTCCGTCTGCTACAGCAGAGGTGTAGGGAATTCCAACAAGACCTACATCTCTGCTTTATTGACCTGGTCAAGGCCTATGATACCATCAGTAGGCCTGGGCTCTGAGTTGTTCTTCGTGCTTTCGGAGTCCCTGACCCTCTGCTCACGATCATTAAGGACCTTCATGATGGTGAGCGGGCCGTGGGTAAAACTACGTGGCCGGGAGTCGAAGCCATTTGCTGTACACCTTCGGATGCAACAGGGATGTCCTCTGGCTCCCACATTATTTAACATCTATTTTAACGATGTAGTTCGTGAGGCCTTCAACAGCTGTACCGGAGGAATTTCCATCTGGTACACATACAATGGGAGACTGATCAATGCCCGGGTGCGGTCAAGGGATGGCTCCCTATTGCTCAACCATGTTATGTATCCCGATGATCTGGTAATCGCTGCTCACTCAGAGGAGGAGTTGGAGACGCTGCTGCTAAGCCTGGAGCTTGCCACTAAGAGGTGGGGCCTTACCATCAGCCCCACCAAAACTAAGCACCTGCCAGGGTATTTTGTACCATCGAACACTCCACCCCCACAACTCCCAATTGGTGATGGGGCAGTTGTGGAGAGAGTGAAGAATTTCCCATATCTGGGCAGTGTGCTGATGACTGGCTCCAGTTTAACAGCAGAGGTCTCACTCCGAATCAGTCGAGCAGCAACATATTTTCATTGGTTGCGTAACGCTGTGTGGAAGCTACCTGGTCTGTCGCTCCGCACTAAGCTTCAGGTCTTCTCGGCCACGGTCATTCCCTCCCTTCTCTATGGTTGAAAAACGTGGACACCGCTAATGGAACATCTTCACCGGTTAGAAACATTTAGGCTGGCCTGACTACGATCCATCCTGGGTTTAACCAGGATGGATTGTGTGAGGAGCTCACCATCGGTGAGCTCCTCCGGCAGGCAGTTCAGTTCCATTTATTCAGTTTCCACTTATTTGGTATAGCCCTGTGAGCCATTCGGCTCTTGAATCGGGTGCAACCGCAACAAACAAAAAACAAAAACATGAACAAGAAAACATCTTCAAGTGACTATGTGACTGTGCAAACAGAAAATCCAGGAAAAAAACATCAAAATATTTCTGAAAAAGCACCGTACACCAACGCTGTGTGCAAAAATCCCAGTGGGATGCAAGTCAAACAACAGCAACCACTTAGATTAAGGCCATCAGTCTAACTCAATACTACAACAAACAAAAACATGGCCAAACCAAAAAACTTTTCGAAATCACCAAAATAAAGCCATAAATGCAATGTAACAGTGACCGAATTTTTAACAATAGCGAAACATTTTATTTTATTTTAGGCCACTGAATAGCAGTGGCAGCTAGGGGTGTACAACTCCTCTAGAGCAGTTTTGAGTGAAGATCTCATAGGTAGTGATTCAAGTTGCAGTTTATTGGCAATAGCATTCCAGACCCTGGGGGCATCAATAGCAAAGGCCCTTCCTCCGTTTTTGTACGGCAATAGGGAATGTGAAGCTGGTAAATGAGCGAAGACCTGAGGTCAAATTTGTTCTTTGAAACAGAGAGGAGATCCAGCAGGTAGTCTGCGGATTTTTTGCAAGTACATCGTAAATAAATAAGATCTGGTGCACAAGCCGTCGAACATTAAAAGATGTTAAGTTTGACCCAATGTAGAGATCACAGTGGTGAGTCCTATATGGGCAGTTCAATACAAATCTTAAGGCCGAGTGATAGATGGAATGAAGCTTCTTCAGTACAGTACTTGAGGCTGATTTATACACAGTATCATAGTAATCAAGTAGAGGCAGTATGGTAGCTTTTATCAATTCCAAACGGAACATAGGGGGGAAGCAGTGCTTGTGTCGATACAGAAAACCTATTTTTTTGCCTTTTTACCAATATAATAAATGTGATCTTCAAAATTCAGTTTTGAATCCAGGATGACCCCAAGAAACTTATAGATCTTGACTTGCTCTATTTGATAATTATTTAAGGAATGTAATTGGGGAAGAATAACTTCCTGCTTTAGTCCCGGTGAGAAGCATAGCACCTTGGTTTTGGAGGTATTCAGGACTAATTTAAGAACTAGGTGATGTTGCAGTTTGTTGAAATCACCCTGGAGCTTAGCAATCACGTCATCCGAAGAGCGGCCAGCAGTAATCAGTATCGTGTCATCTGCAAAAAGATTTACCCTGGAATGATCCAGGTCAGTGCCCAAGTCATTGACATAAAGAGAGAACAAGAGGGGGCCAAGGATGGAACCCTGTGGAACCCCTTTTGTTATCTTAACACTGTTTGACCTCCAACCATCTGTGAATACAGTTTGGGTGCGAGAAAAGTGGTAATTTTTTAACCATTTTACTGTGTTTTCGGAAAAACCGAAGCAACTCAGTTTACTAAGCAGGGTGCTGTGGTCTACTGTATCAAAAGCTTTGGACAGGTCAAGAAAAAGACAGGTACATTACTGCTTATTATCAAGGCTACTGTAAATGTGATTCAGAGAGTCTAATGCAGCAGATGTGGTGCTGTATTTTTTTGGGAACCCAGATTATTTTAGATGTAGTAGATTGTTGGTGGACAGGAAACTGCTAATTTGGTAGTTCAATAATTTTTCAAACATTTTCATCAATGGGGACAAAATTGAGATAGGTTGGTAGTTATTGGGATCATCTTTAGGGCCCCCTTTGTGAAGTGGACGGACATAGGAATGTTTCCATTCTAGAGGAACGGATGCTTCTTTGATGGACAGGTTGAAAATATGGGCTATAGGTTTGTATATTAGGTGACCAACAGTTAGTAGAGCAAAGACGGGAATACTATCTGCTCTGGTAGAGGAGGACCCTTTGAGGTAGGACAGTTGTTTCAGAACATTACTTTCGTGGATTGGCTGGAAACTAAATTTGTTTAATGTTTGGACAGGGGTGAAGGAATTTGCATGAGCAGGGGTGACTACCAATACATTATCAAAAAGATTACCAGCTTCAGAAAAATGAAGGTTAAAATTGTCAACTATTTTTTTGGGATCTGAAAAATATTCCCCATTTCGGTTAAGCTCAATGGGCAGATTGTCTGTTTTGGATGCCTTTTCGATACATTTGATTGTTTTCCAAAACATCTTGGCATTTCCATGTGATTCCAGGAGATTGGAGGAAAAGTTGGCCTTTTTTGCATGCCGTATTTTTTTGACGCATTTATTCCTTAAAATCCTGTATTCTAGCCAGTCAATGACCAAATTACTTTTTCTGAGCACATGCCCAAGCCTTGTCCCCAGTTTTCATGAGCTTTGTAATCAAAGGATCATACCATGGTGGGCGGTTGCCTTTGGTTTTAAATCTAACCAACGGAGCATGTTTGTTAAGAATTTGGAGAAACGTGTAGCTGAAAGTCTCCCAAGCCGTAGTCAGGTTGGGGATATCACAGACCTTGTCAATATCCGAGTGAAGCACATCATTAGTAAATTCCTGAGTGCTGAAGTGCCTCAAAGAGTGCTTCTCAACCAATTTAGGGGGGGCTTTGGGTCTGGCTGATGATCTCATCCCAAAAAATGGAGTGGTCACTAAGGTTATTACCCTGAACAGTCAGTGCGAAATTGTGAGGGGCATTTGTCAATAGGACATCAAGCAGAGTTGACTGTCCCGGATTGTTTTAGGTTGGGTCTTGTGGGGACATTTATTAATTGAAACAGGTGAAAATCATCTGTAAAATTTGTGGCCACGGCCGGCGGGTTTAGCCAATTCCAATTTAGATCACCCACTAAAACTATTTCACCTTTAGGGAGGCCCCCAAAAGGCTCTCTCAGTGCAGATGCAGCTTCAACATCCTTCCCACTAGGCGATCTATAGCAGCACACTACCAATATCTGTTGATTATTTGGGAGAGTTATTCTGACAGCCAAACCTTCAAAGCAACATTTTTTAAACAGAGAGTGAGCTGGTGAACATGCAATAGTATTATGAACATAGATAGCAATTCCACCTCCTTTAGATCCTTGGTCAAGCCGAAAAAGGTTGTAGTTGACAATCGTAATCTGCAAGTCATTGATGGCAGGAGTGAGAAATGTTTCTGTTAGGCAAGAAATGTCCGGGTCAAGATTTGCCACTTCTAGTTTTAGTTGACTTAATTTAATCACAAGCACTCTGATGTTGACATGTAGAACACCAACACCTTTTCTGCCAGAAAAATCTACAGAATTATACGAGTTCTTTACATATGGGCTAGGATGAAGCTCAACACCACCCAGAAATAAGAAAAGTAGAATTAATAGTTTGCACAAATATTTTCTGTGAAAGGATGAAGAGCGGTGAACCTTGGACGAATAGCAGCAGCTCGCAGATGGTGTTATTTTTAAGAGCAGAATGAAGTTAGGAAGGAGTG